TGTTATACTCTCATAAAAAAAAAACATGCCCAAAGCCTTGCTTTGACTCATTCATGCATGTTTGAGTAATCCTGCAGTTTTTTTTGGAAGACACGATGAGGAGCAAAACAACAGGTGGGGTCCAGAACCGCCTTTTGGGACCAGAAACGCCCCTGCGACAGCTTATATATAATTAACACAAGCAACTCGCAAGATCTTCATCCCTAAAGAATGATTCAGATCTTTTGAAGTGGGGTTTCTGCAAAAAGGTTCTGAACATCTTGTGATGTGTTTTAGTGCTGACMGGATTGATGAGCTAATGGCTAGTCCAAGCAGGACCAAGACTAAARTGTCTTACTGGCTTCTTAAAACAGCTACAACCTCAAAAAAATTCTTCTAAGTACATGTCACAGCTAATGAATAAAATGTTACATCACTATCAAACTTAAAATACATTTACATAAAAATCCCAGGTGTTTACAAGAGCAAACAGTAGCTCAGCAGCTAACTGTAGCATTTATGAGCACTTCTGGCAGGAATATCATAATCTTGCCAGATTAAGACTTAAACTGACAGTGATGTGCAAGTTTATAAAGTCATTTTTGCATGAACTGCTGTGAAATTCAACACTGGAGTTGTTTTAAGATGTCAGCAATCCACCTGGGGCTTGACCCCATTTAGACTAGCCATTAGGTCATCAATAGTCAGAACGACACTATTTCTCCAAACTGAGGCTGTTCAAAGAGCCATCTACTACAGGTACGATATTAAATGTTCATAACCTTTCCACAGAACCTCACTTCAAAAGATCCCTTTAATAGGCAACACATGTAGGCATGTAAAACATTCGTTTTTAAAATCAAACCATTTATTTCCAGGACTGATGCACTTCCACTTCCTTTCTCGTATGACAGTAACTTAATTAAATGTGAAGGAAAAACACTAGGAGAGACATTATGGCTTTGATGTGTTCAACCACCCTGTTTGTATTACTGCACTCCACAGCACTCTGGGACTGTGTCATATTTGGGAACTGAAACAAAACATGTGGTTAGTTAGGATAACTCRCTCTCCCTCCAACTCCTTTTTTGACTCAGAGCTATCTTGATGCCTTTCCCTGCCTGGTTAAACAAAAAAACTATTGGTTAAAAAAAAGAAGAAGAAGCAGTCTGCATATCTTTTTAAGGAGGTGAGTCACAACAAACAGCTACAGAAATTATGTGATTTCTAAGATAAGCTAGATTGTTGCTGATGCTCTTATGGTAAGAGACAGGAAAGGACAGATAAGGAGACACAGAGACACAAACATACTGGTATTGCACACAATAAAAAAGCAGGAGGAGTATGATTCTGCAGATTACAGGACAAATTCTTACTGGCAACTCAAGGATAGAGACAGTTAAGATCCCAGTGTTTATGTCTACTGTATGCTTTGGAAAATAAACGGTGTGACACTAATGTGCATAACAAAATACTAATTCCTATGTTTTATGACTAAAGCATCTTTGAAAGAAACTGGGTCATTTACTGTTAATAAGCCTGCAAGAAAAAAAAAATCAATAATCAATAAAAGTTTTGAAATAAGATTTACACAATTTCAGAAAAGGAGGTCTCTGCAACAAGAAGTGGGAGTTTCTTGGTGTGTGGGAGGAGTTTGTCCAAGACGTGATTGGACTGTTTGAGTTTTGTGGGTGTAGTTTGTTAAAGACGTGATTGGTCGGATTGACTATTTTGGGTGGRGTTTGAAGAAGCYSTAACRATTYGATTGGATGAACGTTGGGCAGCTAGGGGATGTGTAACTTGGTCRAAATGGCCAGGARGCACCTAGAAATATTWATTTCAGTCATTTGAAGTTAAAGTGCTTGTGACATGAATATCCTTCAGATACAAGAAGTCAAAGAAAACATCTTTAWATTTAAGAAACGTGGCATACCAAACAWGATTTTACMCATTTTGTCACATAACTGCCATATTTTCTTCTGAACTTGGCTCAGCCAAAGTGAAACAGGAAGTGACATCAAAGGGGAAATCTTTAAAGAAAAGAAGCTCCCTGGTCTTTATTTATTGARACATTATTCCAAATCTGACTCCTTTTCATCTCACTCTGACAGYGACTCAAATCAATYTAAACAAAKCATCTGATTCTTCTTTACAGTCTGTGTTGTCGGACATAGCAATGCTATGTTCACATTCAGGCATTCCTCTTTGACATCACTTCCTGTTACTTCACATGCAAATAAATGAACAACTGCTCATCTCAGCGGCGTGAAATTCTTTTTGCAATATGTCAATGTTATCTTTCCAAAAATACATTCATATTTATTACAAATATTTAATGTCACAGGCACTTTAATAGATTTTTTTACATGTTCACAACTTTTATTTAAGACATTTTGTTTTAAACTATAGACTGTCAATACATTACCATGTTCACAATTATTTTACTAAAACTATGAYTCCATAAGTCAGTCCAACCAATCAAGGTCTTGCCTAACTCCGCCCACACTRAAGARACTGYGCCTATATTCCAAATTCCACCAATCATGGTTAGGACCAACACCGCACACACAGACAAACTCCTCCCCATATATACTGCAGAGACCCCGACTCTCAACTTCATGGCAGGATTTTATAATGAAGCATTTTTGTTGTTGTAATTTAATATTTCTGAGTCTTTTAATGTTAATAAAATTTATTTTACAAAGACTGATTAATTTTAACTGTGACAAACTGTTTTAGAAAAAAAATGTTTTTTACAAATATCATTTTCAGATTTATTTGAATTTACAAATGACACAAACAAAACTGAATTGTGATGCATTATTGTTTGTCACTTGCTAGTATTGTTGAATGAGTGAAAACATACCTGAGACAAAAAAATGTAATAATAAACCCAAACAAAGCCTTTTTAGTTAATTCAACAACTTACTTACATTTAGTTTAAACTACCAGTAAAAATGTTGACCATGTTTCTTTCTTTGAAACTATATAAAWGCTATATTCTGAAAGAAAACCTTTCAAATTGTGGGAAATCAATCAYTAAATGTATTTATTTTCATTCACTGCTATTTCTTCAAGATTAACACATTACTAGTACAAACAAATTATTTAGCAAACCTACCCTTGTCCTTAGTACAAAAAAAAGTGTTCTGCAGAATATAAAACATGTATGTGCTGTTTCCATATAATCAACTGACAAAAGTTTATATTTTGGAATTTTCTGCATTTTCCTTTTGTATGATCTTAAATAAACAAATTGTGAGGTCGAACTTAAATTTCTAACAAAAAGTTATGCCAACTGTGGCACCAATAAATGAGTAGCAGAGTGAAAAACGTAAAGCTCATTATGTAGCCTAGATTTACCATTAACCAATCCTCGTTACATCATCTATGTGTTCCTCCACTTTCATCCTTTGTTTCTTTTAAACACTCAATATAGAATCAACCTGGTTCACTGAACAAACGGTAGATGTATAACCAAGGGCGTAACTTTAAGTCTATCGTTGGGGGGGGGGTTATGCTCTAAAATCCTGTATGGCATTTTTAGCATTATGCTTAAACATACATATATGACATGGTAAATTTTTTAATCAGGTTAAAGT